GAAATGTATATGCACTAATTACATGCATCATCTCTACCAGAAAATCAAGAAAAGTGCATAGTGCATCTGAGTGATTTCTATTTTGTATTTCTATGAACCAACGATCAACTGATCAACTGCCCAAAACACTTCGAAAAAGTAACCCTAATAAGTTTGGAACAAAATCGGAAAGCAAATAGAATCTATTGAGCATCACAGTACATTCTCTCACAACATCAAATTACTATAAATACAATACATTTTTCAGTTCTTCTTATCACATACAAAGTCACTCAAAATTGGAGTAAAAATTTACTAACCTACAAATCAATATAATAAAATAAGAATGAAATCCAAATAAAAGCAAATCACATTGCATATATTAGTCATTACAGTGCACTCTCCTTGTAACTATAATTATGGAAAGTAGCAAAAAATTTAAAATTGCACAAATTTGGGAGACGGAATTGGTGTTTGATTTATTTTGATTCTGAAGGACAATAATACTCTTGATTTAAAATCTGGAGTAGTTTGCTCCTATTTTTATGGATTGCATTAATTTCATTCCTTTTTTAAAAAATTGAGTCTTATCTTACATGGATTTTTAATAGCCGCAGGATCCTTCATATCCAATGCATATTATTCATTCTTATTTCTTTCGTTGAGAGTCATTCTCACCGGAACCAGCCCCTATATATATATATATATATATATATATATATATATATATATATATATATATATATATATATATATATATATATATATATATATATATAGAACCGTGGTCTGCTGCTCTCTATCGCGATGAACAGTATTCGGATTCTTCCATGAGACTTTCCCCTTGATTTTGTGGTCCGATTTTGATGTTTATTGATTCCTTGGAGTCGTATAACAATGGAGAACACTATTATGAGATCAATTTCGAAGATTTGTGGAGGATTTTGGCTCAATTGAAGGTCAACTCAGTCGCTGTTACTGTTCACAGCGGAAATTGCAGGTATGATTTCCCTCGGTTTGCAGCTGATTTGAACACCAAAATTGAGGTATTGTGGGCGACTTGGAGTGCTTAAACATATTCTAAAGCTTTTGGATCAATCCCAACAAGAACTTGTGATTTTTGGCTTCAATTGGATTTTCGGGTACTGTTCACTGCGAGAAACCAGCTCCAGGTTCCTGCTGCCAATTTCCTCTGCTTTTGTTCTCACTTTGGGTGATTCCCAAGTGTTTTTTGAGCTGTGTTGGGTGATTCCCACGTATGTTTGAGCTGTTTTGGGTGATTCCCATGTTTCATTGAGTTGTTCTCCTGTTTTTGGTGGTGTTTGTCTTTGTTTGTGCTGGTTTTTCCCCCTGGTCATTCCCTTGTTGCTGCCTTCTTGCACCACTGCTGTTTTTTGTTGGTTTGAGCTATGGGTCATAGTAAGAAGAACAAGATGAAGAAGGGAACTAGGAAAAACAGCCATAACATTACAAACTTTGTCTTTGATGGAACGCCGGTTAGTGAGGCAAAGCAGCGGGGGGCTGCCGGTCAGAGCAGTGGTAAACCACACCAATGTAATGATGCTGGCCAGGCCTCCTCCTCTTCGGCTGGTGTTAGTGTCACGCTAAACTCAGTCGACACCTTCTCCGGTGAGGAAAACGCTTTGTCACCTACGCCTATTGGGGGAAAACAGGATTTTGCAACGGCTTTCGGACTTGAAAGTAAAACCAACAGCCCCATGCCTACTTCATCATCCACTTCGGCTAACCGGGATCCTGACGAAGGTATTCCTTTGGAAAAAGTTGAGGTTGGGGAGAAGGTCATCATCCCGATTGAGGGATATCCTTCTCTTGAGGAAGACTGGGGGCATTGCTTAGTGGGCTGCTTCACAGGCCGGTTCCCGGGCATCAAAGCCATAGAGGATCTCATTACCTCATGAGGCGTACAATGTAAGCTCCTCCCTCACGAACGGGGCTGGGTCCTTTTCCAGTTCCTTAGTGATGAAGACCGAAGGATTGTTCTCCAAAATGGGCCTTACCAGCTCTTTGGTAAGACTCTATTACTTCGCATTCTTCCGGAGGACTTTCGCTTCAACTTTGATGCCTTCATGACGGTTGATGTGTGGGTTAAGTTCGTTAACGTCCCATTGCGATGTTGGAATAAAATTGCACTTCAATGTTTGGGGTCGAGAGTGGGAACCCCCAAGCGGACTGACCAAGGTACAAAGAGACGGGGGAGGATTAGTTTCTGCAGGATGTTGATCCAGGTGGACATGTCTAAAGAGCTACATACCTCCTTTGAGGTTAGCCTACCGGATGGGGGTACTTACATCCAGAAGGTTGTGTATGAGGGCCTCCCAAAATATTGTTTTCATTGCAAGAAATTTGGGCACAACCTTCTAGATTGTAGGGTTCTCCGGGCCCTTCGTCTCAGAAAAAACAGGGATTTTGTTGGCAAAACGTCCAAGCGCACGATGGGAAAAGGTAAGCACGTTGTTGAGGGGGACAATCCCACTACCTCTAGTGGTCAAACCTCCAACAAAACAAGTGGAAAACAGGCTGGAAACACTGCTGTAGCAGGCACAGAGGCCACTGCCAGCGTTGCTGCCAAGCCCAAAACAGCATTCCAGTCCCTGCCTCCCGAACCTGCTGCCTTGCCTAGTGTGCTGGATGAGAGTGGCGCAGTTGGAAACTGCCCAAGACCTACTGCCAAGCCCGTGGCAGAGGGTAATATCCTGGTCCCTGAAGCAAACCGGAAGAAGAAGAAAAACAGTGAAACACCTAACAAAGCTGCGAATGTTGAGCTGCCTTGTGCCGAACCCCGTACATCTTTGAAAGCTGTGGATGGGTTGAATAACGACCAAACCACCATCAAGAAGATTGTTCAACGCAGGGGGAAGGCCAAGCAACCAGCTGGCCTTGATGACATCAACCACGGCCTTGTCGCCGGTCCCTCCTCCGCGACGCCAAAGGATACTGCCGCGGCCATTCCAGTGGCTAAAACTGCTGCACCTACGGCTGGACAGGGGGACACACCAGTGCTGCCAAATGCTGGTAAGGAAGGCAATGCAACGCCCAAAGTTGTACCCAAGGCATGGAAACCGCCGTTCAAGGCGGTGCAGGCGGCCTTGAAGCCACATGTAATCTCGCCCCCAATAATCCGTGCAGCCTCCCAAGTCTGATAGCCCCGATTTCATGCGGCGTTGGAGGGAAAAAAGACACTTTATGATGCTGAAAACAAAAAGATTGCGGACAGCCATAATGGGCATAAGGAACTAGCCGCTTACAACACAAAACACTATGGGAGACCAGAAGGTGAATCATCTACGTTTCCTATTGTATTGTGCTAGTTAATGCTTTTCCTTTAGCTTGATATGAGTTGTCTTTGATTTGATAGGGGTATGCCCTGGTACATTGTATTTTAACTTCGTAATTGTACTTTGTAATGACTCTTGGATTTTAATAATTTACATTTTATCCTTGAATATATATATATATATATATATATATATATATTATTTTCGTATTATGTTAATTTATACAAATGGTAATTGTATTTAATTATATTCACTAATTACTATATATGTAATAATATCTACTAAATTATTACATTTAAAAATGGTAGTAATATATACATGTATTATGAATGATAAAATTCATGCACGGGTCATTAATGGAGTTATCGTAATTGTGTAATTACTCAATTAAAATGGTGAGTAATTTAAAGTAGTAATAAAATAATAAAATATTCAAACATAATTACACTTACCGTTAATTAATCAATCCTTTTTAAACCAGTTTATACGAATTATACGAATGGTAATAAAAGGTAACTAAAAACGTATATAAAAAAGGTAACTAAAAAATATTTTTGGAGTTTATACTGGCACTTTGAACATAACCTGTAAAAACTTGGAAATAAACTATTAAAAACGTGTATAAAAAGGGTAACTAAAAATCTAATTTATATGTAATACTAATATTCAATTTTGTATACACACCTTATTTTATAGACATCTTGAAACACCTTAATAAAATAATATTGCCGTATATAAAACATAATGCGGAATATAAAAATGTAAAATTCTGTAAAATGTATTCAAAACTATTTAAGCCAATTTAGTACGTCAATTATAAACAAATAATCTAAATAATCTAATTAGTAATTACAAATAGAACATGACCGAACCATTTTAAAATACATCAACCAAAAAGGAATTTATAAGAAGCAAAGGTAATAAAATATTTCCTAAAAATGTTCAAACATCCATACCGTTAATAAATCAATGTTACCGTAATCCAAACATAATTACACTTATAAAAAAGGTAACCTGTAAAAACTTGGAAATAAACTATTAAAAACATATATAAAAAAGGTAACGAATGGTAATTTAATATAACCGTGTATTATGCGAATGGTTTAATATAACCGTGTATGGTAATTTAATATAATTTGCTTTTAAATTTATGATTTCGTTTACTTGCATTTAATATAACCGTGTATTTTAAATTGTAATTAGAAATAGGAAAATACGTATAGAGTTATGTACATTTTTAAAACATATACCAAAATGGTAATAAAAAAAGGAACATCGAAATTTATAAATTCATTAGTATAAATACGCTACCTTACTGGGATAGAAAAGTAAACGAGTGTTCAGGAAACGAGAGTTTGAGTTTTAATTAATCGGTGCTCCACTATCGTTTTTGTACGAACATGGGAATCATTACCGCCCTAAAAAATGTTCATGAAAATTCCGGATTGTTGATGATGAAGCTAAGAGCGATAAGAGTTTACTACGTCTCTGCTCATTCTCGAGGGCCGGAATCATTGGATATTGTTTTTCACGACTCAGAGGTTAGTTCTACATTGTTTTATATTTTACATATAATAAATCTTTAAACAAAAAATAGAAATTTATTTATAGATTAACATTTTATATTTGTTGTTAGGGCGATCGGATCCATGCTCAGACCACAGATACTAATATAAGTACATTCAAACAAGCTTTACAAGAAAATGCGGTTTACTTAATCATGAGGGTCAGGGTTATACGCAATTTCCAAGGCACAAAAACTACCAATCACCCTTGCATGCTCCAATTTTTGGGAAAGACAAAGATTAAAAAACTATCGGAAAATGGATTTTGATACAATTTGATAATAACTTGTCTTATTGAATATTGAGAGATATGACCCTATATATAGGGAATACAAGAGTAATCAAAGTACAAGTAGGAAAGGAAAGAATAATCCTAGTAGGAAAGGAAAGAAGTATCCTAATTTAATTATACTTCCTAATATCCCCCTGCAAGCTGATCAACGGAGACGAGGGGCAGCTTGGAACATAAGTACTCAAAAGGAACTGGCGGAAGCGGTTTGGTAAGAATGTCTGCTAGCTGCTCTGAGGAGGAAACATGATGTGGAGTCATAGTGCCTGCCATAACCTCATCTCGTACAAAGTGACAGTCTGTGCCCACATGCTTCATGCGATCATGAAGAACCGGATTTTTGGTGACACAGATAGTCGACTCATTGTCACAGTATAACTTCGGTTTGGACGGAGGAATA